ATGTATTCTTAATGCTTACGATCAGGAAAAAATAGCTTCACGTTTATCACGAAACGATGTTGTTAAAATGAAATTAGCGGTCGGTTGTGGTCAATGGGGTTTTTATTTGAATTTCCGGAAGCGACGTCCGGATGGTGTATGCGTTGTGGAACTAGAAGAGGGAGCAGAAATGGATTGAAATTTTCTGTTAATTTTATGGAAGATTTTTTTGGTGGTGATTTGCATTTGTGTGGTTTTTCTTCTATTGTTCTGGGCAATGTTAGTTTCTTCCTTGTACTCCGTTGCTGCTAAAGAATTTGGAAATATTAAAGCATCCCAATTTCCTCCCTCTCCGTTCTGATACTATATGCTTCCTTGCAATTTCTGGTTGATGAAAAATGAGACAGTTTTAAGACTTCATTAAACATTTCAGGATGGAATGAGTCAAGTTTTTTGTTCCTGTTTTCGTAACACATGGCATAATGGTAACTGTTAAAGTTAATTGAATATTTCACTTTAGATACAATATATCAACGCCCGATTTCATGAACATAATTGCCATCCTGAAATACAATTTAAAGGGAAGGACCAATTATTTGTCTTTTTCGTTTTCAGTTTTTTTCTTTTCATTTTTATGATTAGAGATTTGAGTAATTTATTTTTTACTTGTTTTTGAAAATATAATTGCTTATAATTGACTTCTTTCAAGGAGACGATGTAAACGTCAGGTACCACGAATTTGAAATGCTATTAGATTTTAAAATCTTCAATTTTCTTCCTGACATTTGGTGTTGAACGAATCCAATGCATCATTTTGTATTCTACCGAATTTTTCCGCTCTGAAGAAGGAATTTCAATTATTTTAGTTGATGGTTGCCAAAGTGTGAATTCCATTTATTTCATTTTATCGAAGCGATTGTTTATGTCTTTATGCACTGATTAATTTTTAATATTTTTTCCTTGTAATTTTCTGTGTATTATTTTTGCATTTCCATTTGAATCTTCATCGATTAATTTGTCGACAGTCCTCTTCAGGTTGAATTTTAGTAAGTTGGTAAAATCCTTACTACTTCATTTGTAGTACCTGATTTTTGAATTCAACCTTCTCCTCACATATTAAAACAGGTAGGATATTCATTGCTGAAACTTGAGTTCTGAATTTTCCACAACAGTTCCAGTTACCTGTTTGCTCTAAATTGATTATTGATCTTCGAATGATTAAAATTTAAAACCTTTAACAATACGATCAATTTTTGTTTGTTGTTTACTGTTCCTAATACTAAATCAAATGAAAGGAGTGGAATATCCGTACATAGGCACTTTGATTTTCATATACTATCACTGCTCCTTCATACTTGTGTTTTGTGTCATAAACTTTGTAAACAACAATTCATTGTGATTCGGAAAATATTATTATTATTATTTATTGCACAGGCCTGAGAATTTACATAAACTAAACAGTACTGCATATTATTTGCGCGTAAAGTTTAAGAAATTCAAATTGAAAATATTTAAAAATTTTCATTTTCTTCAAAACTAAGATTAACATCGAAAGTTCCGGCCTCAAGAATCATTTTTTCGAAACTTTTTGGGGTTTTCCAAATAGAAGAAGTTAATCAGGTCTAGGATTCACGAGATTAGATGGGGAAATGATTCAGACGAAGCTCAAATCGGAGAGGTAAACAGACGATTGAGAAAAAAACAAAAGAAAACAGTTACCACGCCTGTTTCGTAAAAGTCTTACATAATTATGAAACGTCAGTAATTACTTAGCTTGCAAGTATGATACTATGGCTAAGAGTGTAATATTTTCCACGAGGCACCAATTTTAATCCTTCTTTGCAAATCTGAGCTGGTAGTAATCACGTAATGAGATCAGCCCTGTAAGGTCTGTCATGGAGGAGACAGGTAATTTCCTGCCTGCTCTGTCTAGATCTAAAATATACCCATTTTTAGTGCTCCTACAGCCCGATCCTTCCCCGCTTTATTTAGCCTAGCTCACAATTGTAGTTCCGGTAACAAAAGATTAGCATTTAGAGTACAGTAGAGTTGCTACTGTATAGGAACCCGGAAACACATTTAGGTTAAAACATTACAACAGCTACAGCAAACAATATATATACTTTAGCATTCATACACATATCTTAGTGACAAAGCGGTGACATTACATCGTGCATTGGAAATGAGAACTATCTATTAACAAAGTATTTACGAAGTCCAAAATAAAATCCTGGGTGCACCATTGAGTATCACCATAATAAGTACTACTAGGGATACATGATAACAGTAGTAGTATCACTGGGTAGTGACAGCTGTCGATGTTGATGAGGACAAAGAAAATAAGGGTACTGTAGCGGGAGGCTGTTGTTGTGGTAATAACGAGGTAACAGAAGATGTCGGTGGAAGAGGTTGCTGTTGCGACTGCTGCTGTCGAGGTTGAGGAGTATGTGAAACAGTTGCGGGAGTTGAGATTATAGCCTGGGGAGCGGGTAAAATAGTAGGAGAGAGGACTAGCACTCGAAGTCGATCTACTTCTGCTCGCAAATGTTCCACTTCCAGCCGTAAACGGATATTTTCTTGTTCAAGCATCGCTGCCCGAAGTGTCATTTCATCTTCCTGGATAACCCATATTAATAATCCTGATCGAATTGCTCATGTATGAAATACTTGGGACGAAAGTGTCACAGAAGTGATAAAAATGATAGATTTCGAAAATCGAGAAGTCGTGCAAAAATTGGTACTTGCTTGCCAGATGGCACCTATTTTAATATTTTCATCAACATTAATGTTAATAGCAGCTATACCTGTTACCATTTTCCGTCCCAGGCATTTCATTTTTTATTACCTTTATATGAAAACCACTCCGGTTTCCTTGTCTAACTTGAGTTTCCCATTGATAAGTTGCAAAATTCCACAAAGTTACGAAAAAATACTAATATTAAAAGTAAGAAATGCATTCCATCTTTTTAAATTTTAGAGAATTAAAATTTTCGTTAAAGTAAACCTTTTGTCGTCTGGAATCTCGACTTCTTTTAGCGGCGTCATTGTTTTTCCTACGTCGCTCCCAATATGCTTCATCTTTGACCAATTCTTTTTTTTTTCGAACTGTTTCATTGCGGACAATCACCTTGCGTTGCGCAGGTGTTACATCTGCATCAGAAGTTGATGATGTGACCTGGAATGAAAATTTTTATCCATTATTCTGGTTTGAATATAATCCGTTTTGAAATGAAAGTAAATCCTAAGATTGAGAAAAGACAGGATTTGTGCTTCTTTAAAACGGCCCACCTAATTCACCGTCCATCAAAAGTCATAGAACGGTCTATGAAAAACAAATATTCGTTAATGATTTATAAAATGAGTTCGAAGCTTCTTTTATTTTTTAACAATTCTCTTTCAAACATTTTAAACACTGAAAATAGGGCAAATGAGGTTGGATAAGAAGGAAGAGGAAGAGAGGGAGAGAAAGGGAGAGACAGGCAGAGAAAAAAGACGAAGATCGAAGAGGTTGAGTCATTTGAACGAAATCAAATCTTCAATTTCACTGCAAAATTTTCAAGTATAAATCATTTGAATCAGTTGAAAAAGTGAGCTCTATCAACATGTTGCTTCAAATTGTTTTAAATTATGATTAGAGATAATAGCGTTTGTATTTGAGTGATGGAATCATTTGTTCATTGATAGAGCAGAGAATAAAGACTAATTTTGAAATGAGAACAGATGAGGGGGAGAGTGTTTGATTGAAGTGATTCCAGGATGGATCATGGATGACAAGGATTGACCTACTGGCACCAATATGCACAATTTGGTTTCGGAACTCATGCAGTGAGGCATTGAAACTTCGACATAAAATTTAAAATTTAAGAATCATAATAAAATAAGTTCGGCCCAACCTTTCTTTTAATTTTGACTGATTTTGTCTTCTACTCTTTCTTTTACTTTCAGAGACAAATAGTTCATGTCTGAAGATTTTTGGCGATCAGACTTCAAAGGTTTCAGCTTCGAACATCTTTTGAACTATGTAAATACGTTTCTTTACAAGTAATCAATGTAATTAGCTAAGTGAGTATTTTAAGGCACGATAGAGCAAAATATTATATTTGAACCTCTCCGATATATAGAAAACAGATATCTTTCTATTCTCGTTTGAAGAACTAATTCACAAGTTGAATGACAGGCCTTCTTGAAGCTGGAGAAGCTAACTGTAAAAAAAATCTTGAAATTCATGGCTAATGGCTACTACGAATGATTACTTGGGATGTTTAAATAATAATTAATCATAGCAGAAGATTGGATGTGTGAAAAGAAGGACAAGAAAAAGATAGGTTTAGGGATTTTTGGAACTTTCAAATTGGTTTATCATCCCTTAACTATCAAAGCATCAAAAAATGAAAATATACAAAACTTGACATATACGACAAGGATATAAACAAGACCAACAGTGTGAACAATGATATCGAAATTTTAGATTCAAATTGAAGTGAAGATGGAGAATAACGGAAGATGACTAAAGTCTTGTTTGATATCAAATTTTCTGCAAACTGTTTAGGACTAGATTTAGTTTCAGTTCACAGCCGGTAACTTCAACTCGATTTTAAGATTTGTATATTTATTGCAAGTTCTTTGCACCATCATTTTTGATTTAATCTTAGAAATTAAACCAATGCCAAAGAATAATTCACCTGTGTAGAAGGTGATTGCTCGTTGATTGTTTTGTCACTTTTTAAATGATTAAAATCGGTCGTAGGAGGCACAGAAAGTGCGCTAATTGGATCAGTTGGATCATAAATGTGAAATGGTCGTAAGGCAGGTACGACAAGGCCAGATGATGTTTTACCGGAGGATTGTTTCGCATCTTCTTGAAACATGTTGAGGATATTGGAGGGCACGAACGGATTGACCAATGGACTCATCAAAGATGTGTGCGACAGATGTGGCATGGTACTGTACGTCGACAGATCGTATGGCAGGAAACTCTGAAAATCGAGATAAGATTATCAGTGAAAAAAATCAGATGAGTCAGTTAAATCATAATTAAGCAATATTTTCAAAATATTTTGAAAATATTCACATTAAATAAAAAGATATGTGTGAAAATGCAAAGAAATGAGAAAAAATGACTGTTGAATAACGATGAATGTTTGAGCTGAGGGTCAGTCATATGATAGAAAACTAAACAAATAATCATTACTGAAATGTTATTACCGCTCAACCTGTCATTCCGATCGAGCAAAAAGTTTTATCAAAGAACCAAACGGAACGGATGGTCTCCTTCCCGAATCTCTAACATCAGACCACCCATTTGTCAGAAAAGCTTAAGAAAATATTAGAATTATAAAAAATTATTCAACTTTAAGCAAAATCTACTCAAGTATTTAGCTATTCCCTTTTCCTTATTGTGTATCTTCAATGGACAAAGCAAAACATTAATTCTTTTCTGGGATGCTTTTCAAAAAACGCTTCACTAAATTATCTTCAGTTTATAACCTCGGACTGTAGCAATCGTTTTAAAGTACTAGAATGATTATATCGTCAGTGTTGTTAGTTACTCTTTCAGAATGACATAAGAACATTAAATATCAATAATATGAGAAAAAGTTCCAGAAGGTAATTTAGAAAAACTAGAGTACTTAAAGAATTCCAAAAAGAAGTACAATACCATCAGAAAGAAATGAAATTATTAAATGAACTGATCAGCCCAAAACAGATCACACACAGCATAATAGTTTATTAGTATTTTTATTCAAAAGGGTTAATTATAATGTCTTCTTTGTATTTTTTAATCAATTAAGAGAAACTCCCATTGAAATATTCGGACATTTTATTTTGTTGGGATTATTGGGAATAGAACATTGCTAGATTTAAGCCAATAGAAAGGGTGACACAAAATATTATGAAAACGAATCTCCTTTTTAACTTCCTTTTCATTAACATCTCATCTTGCGTTTATTCCCTTTCACTCCGTCAACCAGCAAAGCGCATTCCGCCCAAACGAAAATTTCCGCTAAGAGCGGCTTTCGCTGTCGGTTCAATCACCAAGTGCAATCTTCCATTCATTCTCCTTTCATTGATATGTTTTGAATGGAAAACAAAAACAGTAAAGAGTGGTGAGATCTCATAGCACACAGCCATATGAAAACTTTATCCTACACATTTTTATCTAAAAATTTAAGGGAGCTTAACGCAAATGTTCATTCAGGATTGATAATTTAAAAAAAGTATGGAAAGAAAAATGAGTCAGAAGTTTTGAATGTGTTCATTGAATAAAATTCAATTCTGATGTAAATGTCTCAATATGCCTACAATTTGATTTCGGAATTCTGCTTTAATTTTAAAAAAATTTTAACTCCTAGTTATTCTCAGATTTTAATAATTTATGGTATTACCTTTCATTTAGCATGACAAATGAGAAGAACTCTATGATGATAGAATAGCATAACTTGGAAAATCTGGGAAGTTCTATGAAAACTGAACAGTGTAACATTACTTTTAGTAGTAAAAATCTTAATTAGTTACTGACTCACTAATGGATAATTAGTGTAAGCCATCAATAAATTTCCTGTACAGAATTTCATTCTTGAATAATTTTTATATTATCGAAGATGAACCATTCGTTTTTAAACCAGATATAGCTAGCAACCATGATGAAATACTCTTTGAATGGTCTTTCAAATCATTCCAGGTATTATCTTCCTGATATTTTGAGTGAAAGTAGTACGATCAACAGGGATGTATAAGTAGCCGCTCATCTACAGTTTTATGCAGAATTCAATTTGGATATTTGTTACACTTTTATGAAAAAAAAAGACTGAACGTTTAATTCAAATGAAATGAAAGATATGAACAATTTGAAATTCAGTGAAAAGACTTTTGTTATGATTGCGTAGCGGGGAAAGTGAAGGATATCCGTAGATGATAGATATACATACACGTATATACATACCTTGATGGGAAAATGTGGCAGCGGGTGCGATAAGGACGTCATTGCTGGAATCGGTTCGACGCTTCGAAATGAAATGCAAAATGAAAGGGAAAATATATTCGCAATTCGGTCACCTACTTCCCCAGATTTTCACTTTTATCTCTCCATCCATGCATCACCACATGCATACACATACAAACATACATTGACATACACATTCACATGTATGTAAATCGACAGATACAGACCGACGAACTGACGAACCGACAATCGCTCCTTTTCGACCACTAATAAAACCCTATTATCGCATGTTGTTGCTGATATCCACTTTCAGTTTCGTTGGTGATAGCAACAACTTAAGGTGACAGACGGTCTTTGTACATTTTAGCCTCTTTCGGACGTCAATTAATCATTTTCAGTGCAGCAGGCATGAGAATTGGCCTCAATTTCAAATCACGACTACTACTGAAGCAGTAAAATTTCAAATGGTACTTCGAAATTTGCGGAAATAATTTTGCAAGTGTCCAATGGGTCAAATTATTTGCATCCTTTCATTTTCAAAAAACAAAAATCGTTAATATCAAAATTAGTTCTGCATAATAAAGTGTTACATTTTTTTCTTTTTTATCATTAGAAATGGAATAAAATTCGCAAAAAATTACCATATCAATTTTTGATTGACAGAGCTTGTGGCAACAAATACAAAAATTACTTCAGGTTGAGTAACTTACTCAAGGTATATTGTTAAGGTACCTCACATCCCACAGCTAACTTATATGTCTGCTGGTATTATCGCTTCAAGTAATTAAATAGAACTATAAGGATAATTTTGCAAGTCATCTTTAGAGCATTTTGAGAATAGAACAAAATATTATGGAAAGGCGATATTTTATTGGCAAAGAAATTTTCTTGCATTAACTATTAATTAGCTATTACACTTTAACCCGAAAAGTTCAACTTTCGTTCCCAATTAAATTACGCAACATATTTGCTGCCAAATGTTGCTTTAAATATAATTACCGAAGTATTTGTGTTAAGCGACTACTCAAAGGTTTAAATTTTTTAGATTTGTTAGAGTCGTGTTAACAGAATTAAAATTAACAAGGAAGTTTCATCATTTGAAATTTCAACCGTTCATCACTTATGATCTACATCTTTTATTTTACATTCTTCTGCCTGTTTTTCAAATTACATTTTATTTTAATCATCTATTTCCAAATTTAATTTAAAAATTTTTCCCATCCATATAATATGAGCGACCCAATTTGCAGAAATTCATTCAATAATTGACTTACTGAGACAATTAGCTTATACACAGAATTAGGTATTACCCTTTGCTGGCATTTTTAAAGCTTTAAATACGATTAAACATTTATACCAGCGGTGCAAGCAGCACTCTTTTTTACAAATTTAACATTGTTTGTGTTGGCTTTAATCTCAAAGTTTTCACTGCTTTATCAGAAGATCAATCTCTGTATCTCATTATAATCCTTTTCATCCGGGAATAAAGATTGATCATCATATTATCAAAAAGATTTATCGACTGAAAACAGAATGTCATGGACAAAGATTCCAGCCATTGAGGAAACTGCATTAGTCTTTCGCAATCGAACCATACCAAATAAATTTACGTCCTTACTCCCCTGTACAATGACAATTCCATGTTCAAAACTCTCCAAATTTCCAGCTATCGCGATATGAAACTGAATTCCTTAAGACATGCAATATATTTCAACGTATTTTAATTTAACAGAAGTGCATATCACTCTTAATAGTTTTTCCCGAAACCGAACAAGTCAACATTTCTGGTTTGATTCATCGACACTGCTGTACAACAATGCTAGCTACTGTTGTTCGATATTTGACTAATGGTGCTATTGTTTTGAGTATGCTCGTCATCCCCGGGAGAACTGGAATGAAATCACAAATCCGCATTGAGGTAGCCATCGTTGAATAAGGTTGAATGGCACCGAGAGACGAAGAAATGGGAATGGACACGAAATTGTATGTGCGAGCGCATACATGATTAAAGAAAATCACCATCCCACTTGATAACTTTAATTCTGGAAATCGGGTCACTAGGTCATCATTGTCCTCTCTCCCTTTCTCTCTCTTTCACTCTCATTAGCAAACATTTATTTTTCGCTGAAAAACTCTCTCTCGACCTGAAAATCACATCTCTTCCCCTCCGCTCATTCTCTTTTCTATCTAAATATTCCATCACTACAATTCAGTTCCTGTACCTTATATCCCATTATTTACTAGAACTGTGCCACGACAAACCTTTCTAATTTTTGCACAATCAGTCGCTAGTGTGGAGAAAGAGAGGCGTGCATTACTATCGTCGTAAATCGTTGTTGCGTACAGCTAGTGCATAACATATACCATATCCATCTTACTATTCATGCCTGATGGAACAAGTACCATTTTTCAGACGTCGTTACGACATGTACTCCATGTACTCCCACACCCACATGAATAATTACTACATTCTGCTTGTTCTTCTGGAACTAAGGATGGTAACTAATATGCCATTCGGCACAGCGGTACTAATCCTTGTATTTAAATACACATAACACGGTCAATAAAGTCAATGTGCGTAAATCTCAACACCCTAGGAGTCGTAATTCTATCTTTTACTGCATCATAAAATGTCGGAAGACCGTTATAAGTCTAGGGAGACGAGTGAAAAAACGGAGAACATCACAATTTAAGTTACCACATCCGACGTATTGCATAATTTGGGTATTCTCCACCCTACCATCCATCTGTCACGATTCCACAACCGTCACTTCCTGTTCACTATTTAAAAATGATGATTTAGTACATAAGCCGTAACTGAAACAGAATTTCAGAATCCAAACTACAGATGAAAGGTAGCTATACTCAATTTTCTCCCTTATTACCAAAAATTTCTACAAGCTTTTTTTGCAAATTTTTTAGTTCGAAAAAACAGCCTTTTTGACCAGTTTTGAAACTGAATTTATCAACAATGAGGGCATCACCTAGTGATGTTCTTTATGGAGTGTTGCTACAAATTTACGCGATTTATTTATCTAGTTTTTTGGACTAACAATAAGTGAATGAATCGAAATAAATGACAGAACAAGCTTTACCGGTATCATATCAAACGTGTACCAAGTTTCACTTCTTGATGTTTCCTATCTTCTCTTTCTTTAATTCGTAACCTGTTTTTCAATTTTCTTCTATGTCGCTTTTCTCCCGGTATCGACAGCATATTTCTTTTCTGCAAACTCTTCAAGCGTTCTGTCAAAATACTGCCCTGTAACATTTGACTCTGTCAACAGCTAGAAAGACGACCGAATAAGGTCGTCATAAGGAAAAGAAAATATTCCTGTGGAGAATTATATGCAATAATATCAGTCAAACGCGAAGTCTCGTCCTTCGAATCAATCTTGAAGTTGCTTAGAACTATGAGAACCGTTTGAATACTTAAAAAATTCAAGACTTCGACTCATTTCGTACTTCAATACAATTTACGATAAAAAGATACATTTTATACTGCTACTACGTGATCAATGGATGGAGAATAGCGATATTTATCAGCAAGGATAAAGAAAAACAACTTCAACATATAAGGCTAGAATAGGTAATCAAAAGACCGAAGAAGGCAGTTCCGATAACATAAAACAAACCTGCGGCTTTAGTTCTCGTAAAGAGCCTGGCAACTCTTCAGTTAACAAAACGGGTTTCTCGCAGGGTTCAAACTTTCCACGACCCAAACGCTGTATACCCGCAAATCTTTTGATCAACTGAAAAATATCGAAGGGAAATGA